ACTTCTCTTAAGAAGAAGAGGAAGAAGAAGAAGCTTCTCTTATTTTTCCCCAGTGAGTCGTGTTCGGTGTCACTAAAATGCCAGAGACTGAGAAGCTGTCTCTCCTCGCTGTCTTGCCAGTATCGCATTTTGCAAGATACGAAGAAAATATAAATTGCTGAAGCACGTTGTTCCCAAGATGTAAAACACAAATATGGTAAACAAAGATTGAGATTCATTGCTATTTGTGCGCCAATGCCCATCATAACGTCAAAGTAAAGAAGAATACATTTGTGTTTTTCACCCTGGTTTCTTTTACACCAGCTGATCAAAAAAAAAAAATCTGACAAAAGCCAGATTTGTGTGTGTTTTTTGACCAGTGGAAAAACAGGCTTGAGAATAAAGCATTTTGAATCATTGAATCACTATCACTATTCCACGGTCGAAGCACAGTCTGATACTCTTTGCTTGTGTTAATTAATGTGTAATGAGACATGCTGATGTGTGCATTTTAAATCACTTGCATTACTTTTGCTAAATGGCACTACGGGAATTCTCCCACACTTTTTAAAAGATGTCAGCCACTGTGCTGCTAATCAATTTTTCTGTGCTTTCTTAAACTTGACCTTCAGAAAGTTTCTCCAAGAGTTTACAGTGTTGTTTTTGTCGTGTTATTAAGTATGAGGAAAATCACTGTCAGATGTGCTGGACTCACTGAGTGTTTTGTCTGATTGTGTCTGTACTCATGCATTCGTGCACATGCTTCCTAAGATATGCAGAGTGGTTCTCTTGTTCTCAGCAAGGGCTCCCCCAGCAGTTAGTCAAGCCCTGCGTGCCCTTCGGCGATGTTTCAACGATAATTCGTCACGGGGGCAAATGCGTGCTGTGTCACTGAACTCTCCATTTCCTCCTATGAGCAGACTGGAAGACCAGAGCAAAGAGAAGCTCAGCTCTGCCAAAAGAGCTTTCATGTCATTTCTGTTTCTGGAGTTGCACTGCTCGGCCTCGGGGCTCGACTTGAGATGGATGCTCCTCTCATCTTGTCATGAGCTTATCGCTATCCCTCACTCAATCCAAATCCCTGCCTTTCTCTTCAAAATCACCTAACTCTCTTTGCTAACCTCCATCTTCCTGCCCATTGCTATTCATTGCTCCTCACAACTCCCTTTTTCTGGTTCACTATATTATGTTTTTATGTGGTGCGCTTTCCAATTCTTTATCTCTCTCTGTTACAGATTCCCACTCCTAATATCTTTCTACGCCATTATTGGAGCAATGGGTTTATAGGAGATTGTGTATTGTTACATTGCAGTTTGCCACTTTGCCAAGCCCTCTGCTATTTCAAAAATCAATTACCCATCGAATAAAACCATAAACAGTAAAAGCAGCTCTGTTTGTCTAACTGAGCTAAATTGTCTAAAATCTCTCTGATGGAAAATAAAAGGACTGGAGACAAACAAAAAATGGATGATTGTTTCTGTAGATCTAATTGCCTGACGGCTCTGGTGGGGTAACTAATTGCTGGTGTACCCATAATGATCTGCCAGCTGACAGGCTGCAAGCTGATTTCTTGAATGTTCACAGAGAGGTTGAAAATGTGGACACACAGAGGCAAGTAATTATGGGTAAAGAGGAAGAGGCGCTGAACAGAGGAAGAGCAGCAGAGGTATAGGAGAGAGAGTGAGGAAGGGGATGCTGTAGTCAGGTGGCTTAGAGCGGATATTGCTCGCCTTATCTGTCACCTGCAGGTCTGTGCTTATTATAGAGAGAGAGGAGAAGTCAGAGCATAATGTAAGGTGTGTGAGTGTGTATGCACATAAGGGCAGAATTAAAGGTAAATGTCATCACTTCCTCTAAAGAGGGTGAAGATAAAAGAAATAAAGACAGAAAAAATTAACTAAAATATGAGCTTCCCTTCCCTGGTCTGTTCTGAAGACCACCGCATTATTTCCACAATAAAGGTCACATGATTTTTTCTTTTTCATTTAAAGAACAAGTAAAGAAAAAAAACATTTTACAAATCTGACGTAGATCAATTAGTGTTAGACCGCCTCATAAGGAATTATTGATTATTGAACCTTTGTTATATTGCAACTGAAGAGAATTATATTGCAATAATCATATTATTTTTGCCCTAATTTTGATTTCACTGCAGTAATCCTGGTGACACAGCATCAAGGTTCCACTGACCTATCACCAAAACTATCTTTGAATTATTTAACGTGTACTTTTAAGTTTCGATTTTGCTCCATGTCCCATTTGCTAACATGGATGAGGCAGGGTTTATGACCTTTACTGCACTCAGCCACCAGGGGGTGATCGGGATGATTTGGCTTCACTTTTATGGAGCTGTCATGTTGTCGATCTTTATAAATCTTTATCACAATAAGAATCCTGCGATCATTATCCTAACTGTAGTTTGTCAGTTGTGTCTCATCATAAAAACTTTTTTGCAGCCGAGGAACATCAACTTGATAAATGGTGTTGAAACCTTTCACAGGAATCTGCTTTTCATATTTTCAAGTGTACACTGTGACTCCCCTGTTTATCAGACACGTTCTGCCTCTTGAGTTTCTATCAACTTTCTGCTGACTTAGCCTATCTTACTACTGGTAATAACATTACTGTCTCGTGGGCTATAGATGCTGGCGGTTTATTGTCAACTTTTTTTCCTCTGTTCTCCAAACTTAGCCAGTTCTGACAGACTTTTTTTATATAATAGACTAAATCAATATTACAGCAGCACTTCAACACAAGAAAAAAAAAAACAGTAACAGCAGTCCACATTTCGTTGCCTTGGGGTTTTATGCACATCAGGGTTGGACTGCTGGCAGATATCAAGTCGCCGTGCCAGTGGAACTGCAGCTGAAGTGATGACAGAAGTCGTCTCTTGTGCCATAGTGGCAGGAGCAGCCTGTGAGAAGTGGAGCTGCCAGTGGAATTATCATGGCATTCCAGATGTAAGTGGTACCAGCGAATAAGACATTTTTGGGGATTTTATAACAGAAGACATAACACTCACTGTCAGGGATCATCCTGCTCATACTGCTGCTTGAGTTACAATACAAACAATGTCAATGTCATCAACAGCACTCATTCACTATCCTCTACTTGGTGGAGGAGAATATTGTGAGCTTATCTACAAAATTAAAGAAACCCTGACAGTTGTCGGGACATTTTCTCTGCACCGGTAATGTCACAGGATTATGACGTACGACAACAACAATGGTAAAAGCACTTTGAATGACCATGTTTAAATGTAGAAATAAATAAAGTTTCCCGCAGTTTGTCCTGCTCTGCTCTTATAACATCTTCTACCGCCTCAACTAACAGATTTGGCTCATGCAAGTCATAAAAAAACCCCAATTTAAACTGATTGTAAAAGTCTGTGAAGGACTTTGCAAACCAGCAAATGTCAAATGTCAGCAAATATAAACCTGTCTGTCTTTATCCTCATGATATTCAGATCTTTTTGATAAGAATAAGGAGAAGTAGAATCGCCAAAGAGACAGAACGCTGAGACGTGCAGCTCTTGTTAATCTAGCAGGACATTGATAAAGATGAGTTTTTTTTTTTTATATACATATGTACACACGTCTCTCTGTAAGTTCAACAGACAGCTCTTCTGATTTAGCAGAATTAAATCACAGCAGTCTATGTCTCCATCAGCGTAACGTTTAATCTGCAGCAGCTTTGCTGTGTCTTTATGAAGCACACAGTGTAAAATATATTTCCTAAGTGATGCCTCCACATATATCAGATGATGAGACATAGTGACTGAAAGAATCTTTCAACTCCCTCTATCGTCATTTTATCCAAATAGAGAAGATAAAATACTGTTATCTGCAAGCCAGCACCTGTTCTGAAATCTGCTTCAAAGTTCGCTGCCAATATTTCACACAGACACGTCCTGATCTAGTGAAAAATCTCTGGTTCATCACAACAGTTGAAAATGACAGTGGTTACATCTCAGGCTCATTTTGAAATTGTTCACATTTCTGTTACATTATGAACCAACTGAATTAATTGAATGAAGATAGAGATGTCTATTTCCAGACTTTCACTTTTAACTTGGAGAAAACTTATCTAACTCAGTCTGTATAATTGGCCTCTGCAGCTACATCTGCCAAACCCTTCCACAGCATGTTGAGGCTTCTCCAGTTTCACGTTTTTCCCAATAATTAGCTCTGAAAATTCCCCAAAAGATAATTATCTACACGACCAGTCTTGGTACAGTGTAATAACAGTCCATGTAAAAGGGATGACTAATTACCACATAGAGTGATGGCCAATTTGAATAGCCATTACTTTTATTTAAATTATTTACTTTTCAGGAAATAAATGCATTGTGGGTAGTTTTTGTATCTTTTTGTTTCTCTATTATACTTTTTATAGATACTGAATATAAATGGCCTCTCTATCTGGAATTTGTAGACAGCCTCTAATTCACATCTCTGAAACCCATTCAGTGCATAGGAGTGGTTCTCAAAATAGGGAGGTAGCCCCCCCCGGAGAGCATAGATCTACTGCATGGGGCGGGGCTGTGGATGATAAGGGAAAATTTAACTTGGATCCTTTTGAGTCATTACTTAATTGTGTCTTTGTGGGTGTGAACTTGTTTTTTCTTTTTTTTTCTTCTTGTTTTTGATTGGAGACGTGCTAGAAACAAATCGAGGGCCTTGAACTATTTTTTGCACCAACTCTATCGTTAACTGCTGTAGCAGTTGAATGGGTTTTTGTAGTATTTGAGCACCTTTTGCCCTTTTTTACATTCATATTTGAGTACAAGTGTGTCAGTTAAATGAAACCCCAACAAAAATAGTTTACTATGAGAGTTAAAGGACAGTCAGAGGGTTCAAGATTGTCTCTGACCTGCTACAATTCACTGATCTATGTCGTAAAGTCATCCTCAGCCTCAGCGTGTCCCTGTGTCTCTTTTTCAGGGCCTGGGTAGATGTTCCGCTTCCAGTAATAAAAAATGAATCTAATGTGGAAACCTTGTGTTTGATTTAGTAACATACCTGCTGTAGTCAGGCAGAGCTCCTCATCACTGTTGTCCTGGCAGTTGTCCTGGCCGTTACACAAGAAGCTGCGGTCAACACAGCGACCGTTTCGACACTTGAAGCGAGACTCTGAGCACACCAGTGGGTTGCCTGCTGTGGTTAAGTCAGAGCAGAGGTCAAAATTCAAGTTTTAGTTTATATATGGTTACAGAAAAAAGTTTTCAGTTTAAAGTTATATGAGAAACAGGAGCATCTGTCTAACTCTCCCTCAAAGAAACAAACTTCAGTGCATATACATGCATTCAAACACATTTCATGCATTCTGTTGTGGTAGTTTGTGCATTTTGGTAGATGCCATTCTGAAACCTGTTGATCATATCCCATCTATAACACTTTGATATGAATACATTTAAAAGAAAACATTTTTTACAGGGATTTGAGAGATAAAAAGGAAAACACTAAAAAGCATTTGATCTGAGGAAGTTTAAGGAAGTTAAACTCAAAAGAAACAAAATCCTGCCGTGCCCTACCACTTCTTTTTTGGCACTTTCACATGTGTCTTTGTTCTGGTTTCTGCTAAATGAGACAGAATTATCTTGTGGGAAGATCCAGACAATTACACAGTTGTGACGCAGTATCTGCTGGGAGTGAGGAGCAAAGCCCCATTTAAATGGCTAGATTAGATTTGTGAGTGTGTGAGGCCCCTGCAGGCTAGGAACACTGCCTCTGACAATGGTGAGTGATTGGCTTGATGCACGTTCCCCACTGGGGAAAGCAGCAACAGGGTCAAGTGAGGACAACGTATATCTCTGATAGCACAGACCACAACTCCAACTCAAAATAAAATGTGACTCTCGCCTTCATTTTCCTCTGCAAGATGAAAAACAAAGCAAACCAGCTCCAGCTTAGCTTTGTTTTCTGAGCCTTTTCATTTATTTGTTCACAAACTGACACAAGGAAAACTTGAGAAAGTAAAAGAAGAGAGGAGTCGAGACAAAGAAATGAGTAACATCTGAAGACATGTAGCAATTGTTTTCTGCATTTGTCTGACTATGTTGCTGCTAGATTAAATGAATCAAAGCATTTCACTCACTTGTGCACTGAAGCAACTATTTTTTTCTTTTTATAGTTAATTGATGAAGCCAATATTTAGCTTAAAGGAGCACTCCAACAAGATCATATTTCTTCTACAATTACATTAGGTGACTTAAAAGAGACAGATTCAAAAGGACAAATCAGAGGCCAAACTGTGCTCTTTTAGTTGTGTTAATAGACTGTTTGCCCCCTGGTGGCTGGCTTTATCCATCTTTAATGGATGGAATAAGGGCCACACAAAAAAGTCAAAATACACCAAAATGATTTCTGTCATTTTAGCAAGGTCTTATGATGCATGAGCAAGTGCTAATTAGGTTTCCATTAGTTTAGTTATTTGATGGTATAAAAGCGGAGTGAAAGATCAGGTCATGATGGACAGCTGAGACTGACTTGTGATTGGTGAAGTGCGTTTATAGGCAGGGCCTTGATACAGTGGCTCCATATAACAGTCATATCACAGTGTGAGGAAGTGAAGATGTGTCTTCCATCTTTATATACATTCTATTGTTTGGCTCCAAAAGCACTTAATCCTACGTTTCCCATGATGCAACGATGGTCAGTCCTCTTCCTGCCTGCTTAATCTTTACCATAACTCCTAACCTTAACTTATCTCCACAACCCTTGTTTGTAACTGTCTTTCTGTTGTGTTTATTTTGTTTCGTGTATTTTAGTTACTATCTGATATATATATATACAAAATTTTTTGTCTAAGTATACATAAATACTACCATCCAATGACTGTATGATAAGTATCTGCGTAATAACTGTTATGACTGGAGGACAGTACATCACTGACCACAGCATGAGACAGATTGCTTTTATTGGATTTGGTTGCTGTGTGAGACTCACTGCAGTTCTCCTCGTCACTCCCATCAGGACAGTCGCTGAAGCCGTTACAACGGAAGCGGCCAATGATGCAGTGGACGCCATTAGCGCAGGCAAAGAACGTTGGAGCGCACTTTGACTTGACTTTAGCTGAGAACAGATGGGAGGTGGGGGAAGAGGAGGAGGAGAAGAAAAATGGATTAGAGTTTGTGCGTGATGGGAAGAGGATACTGCTAATTCCAAAGATATACATCATGTTTTATGACAGAATTAGCTTTAGCTATAATGCACAATTAGGAGAGAGGGACCCACCAATAAGGCCAGCTGAGATTTATTATTTTTTTATGGAAACATAACACAAATATATGTTCTAAAATTAAAAACTGTGAACCATTCAACCAGGGTTCAAACTGCTTAACAGCTGCTGTTGAATAGAGACCAGTTAATTATTCAGCTCATTTTGTTCAGCAATTCTTATCTTCAAGTTCTCTCAAGTATGACAATTAAAGGGTGCGATCACCAGCAAGTACTGATAGGCCACGAAAACAACTGAATTGCAAAGACAAAGAGAGCAAATGGTGTGGGTGAGTGCTTGTATGGATTCTGCCATTGATCAGCCTAAGCAGGCTATGGGTCTTATCTCCCAGGAAGGGCATGGGACTGAATGACGAGCATGCGGAACATCAATGTCTGGCATCCTCCGCTTAGTGCTAACCCCTGGCTTTAACTCAAACACATTGATCTTCCCCAGCAGAAGCAGAAAAACAAGATCGCAGGTAGATACAAGCAAAGACATCACAAAAAAGAAGAACTCCCTTTATCTTAATATCTTCTTTAAAGTTTCAATGTGACGTCTAGAAGAAAAGAACTGGAAGCTTTGCAACTGTATTTACAGTTGGAGGTTGTGAGTTACATCTGTGTGAAATACAGAATTAAGTCTCAGACATCTGTTTCACTACTTCGGCCTCAGTTAAACTACTCATGGATTATTCTCTTCTCGTAATTTGCATTATAATACAAAGGATCAAACTTGTAAATGTGGCTTTGTGTAAGAGCTACTCCTGTTGTAGGAGTCCTTACTGAAGACAGACAAAGGAAAAGCTACTAACAACAGCTTAGACATTCTTGTGAAGGAAGTTAAATAAGGCTAGAAGTTAATTCCAGACAGGGAATATCATTATAAACTCTGTATCAGATGAACGGTTGCAAAAATGAACAACTCACACATTTATATACACACGCATGCACACACACACACACACAAAGAGAGGGAAAGGTTTGTTGAGGGGTGTTTGGGCATCTAGAAGTGAGCCACCAAACAGTCATTTTTTTGTTTTTTTGTCTATGCCGAATACAAAGGATGGAATTGGCCTCCTCATGGGTTGGCATTGTGCCGTCTCAAATGCCAGGGGCGCACATTTTTCCCTCTACAATATATTGTGGTTGGCTGATTTATGAGCTCTTTCAAGCTGCGGTGATTATGTGTAGCGAGGGGGAGGGCTAGGCATAAAAAGCATGAGGGTTTGGAGCGCCCGTCTCCAGGATGAAATGCAATCCGCTGAACGTGGGAGGGAGCTGGGATGGTGCCCGATCTCTGTGTCTTCAGTCTGGGAAGCTTTTGTTTACCTGGACAGCAAGAGGCCCGAACCACCCAAAGCTCATTTTGCACGGTATATCACAATCATTAAATCCAACGAAAAATACAAACAAAAACAAACAAAAACAAATGTGGCTTCGAGCTGCAGCAACACATAAAAGAAAAGATACAAAAACATACTACTGTTGAGGGGATACTTACAATGAAACTCATTTGGTTAAAAACAAAGGCAATGTAAAACTCTATTCTGTATTTTTTGTCTGTCTTGAATTTTTTTGTTATGAATCTATCGAGGGAATTAATGGAAACATGTTCTGGTACACATCTTACATCATATGCAAAGCAGCAGAAAGCATAGAGTCTGTTAGTTTCAGACCAAAGCAGATTTTATATTACATCCAGCACACACGTGGTTTGTATAGCAAATGTTCTTGTGTCCATTTGATTGCCCATAGTATGTTAGCCCTAAAGAGTCATGCCGTCAAGTTCTCAGTTTGCTTTATTGCTATCTTGATGAATTTAAAGTCACCAGCCAAATCCTAGTCTGAAGCCTTACATTGTACTGTTGTTTTGAGGGTGAATTGTCAAGACAGTAAAAAATTCTTAAATAAGCTACTTTCAGACATGCACTGACCTCTGCATATTCTGTGGAAACATTTCAGAGGGGCTGTATGTGAAAACACAAAAGTCAGAGTCAGTTGCTCTGAACAATTTTCCTGCCACTCCTCTCGTAAAAAGTCCGAAAAAACATCCAGGTGAGCACAAGATAATGCCTGTCAATGACATTTCTAACACACGACAGACCAAAATAAAATGAAAGCCATGTGGGTTCATAGAAGTTAATCTCTGAAAATGGCTACAGCACAAGAGTAGCTTGTTACAAACAGATGACCTGCATGTGTACAAAATGAAACCAGCTTCCCTGCAGGGAGGTATTCTGTCTTCCACCATTATAGTGCTATTTGATAAGGTCTAAGCACACATGACAGGAGATGCACACTGATTAGTTTATTAATGGTTACACCCAAAACACACACCCATTATTAATCAACCTTTATTTTACCTCTTTAAACTTGGAAACGGCCTAACTGCACTAACACTATGACATGAGATGCTTAAACTAGAGCCAATTAAGTTTCTTATTGGAAATATACAACTTTCTACTCTGTGTAGACATGGACCGATTCATTTATTTGCTTGGCAGACCTGGCAAGAAAGACAGCTCTGTTATTGCTCTGACATTCCTCATTCACTGCCTCCCTCCTCTGAATCCTCATTACCACTTCTACCGCTGGCAGAATTCATTTGACCCTGAGTTTGTTTTCCAAATTAGCACAAAAGTCACATGAAGGGCAAGCTCATGAAGGGAACTTCGTGGGTGGGAGAGAAAGATGGAGCTAATGTGCTTAGCTTTGTTTTGGGGATGCGTGGCCCTTTATAGCCTGTGCTGAGCGGTTTTCGAAGCAAGACAAAAATTAATTAGAGGGAGCAAGCTGAGTGTGGAAGAGAAGGTAAAGACACAGGCTTTGTATGTTTAATTTGATAACTCTGTTCATTCCATGTCCAGGACTTTCAATTTTCAATAATAACTCCAACACCTCTGACTTACTCTTCAAACAATTACCAAGAATTTCATCCTATTTTCTTTCCCTCTGTCTTGACTCTGTTCCCCGGTTTGAGCTGCTTTAGTTTCTTGCCAAATTTTATTTCTCATCTCTGAGCCTTTGTAGAAGTTGTTTACGTAAAGCAGACAGCGGGCTGGATGGCTTCCAAACTTAGTTCCAGTGTTCACTGAGCAGCACAAATGAAAACGAATGACTTTTGCAGTGGAGCTGATTCCTTCAGGTGAGACTATCACGAGCAGAAAAACCTGGCTGGATCACACAGAAATGCGCAGCTGGAGGACACACAACCGAGAGAGCGACACCAGAAAAGTCTTTGTTACTGTCTCCTACACATTTACAGACACTGCATAAGGAGGTGACTATTTTTTTTAACAATTCTTCCATAAGGACATCTATAAATGAGAATACTACACTTTCTCCAAGCATCCATTTAAAATATTTTCCACCATCTTCACTACTAGTAAAATGTAACATGAAGCAACTACTGTCTCTTCTGAAGTGTCATTATCTCCCCAGTGGCTTCAGCATACGTGTCACCCTGCATCTTGTTGCAGATTGCATGCTTTGCTCTTCACCAATATGCACCTTGGTTCCCTTCTCCTCATTTCTCCCCCTTTCCTCCCTCTCTTACGGTTCCCCAGAGAGCAAAATAAGTTGTTCGGCACAGGTAGGCCGGGTCGTGATGGGCATGCATGATTGGCAGAGTGAGGAGAAGGACTGGAGGAAGAGACCATCAAGAAAGAGAACAGTGGCGAGTGAGCAGGGAGAGAACAGTGGCAGAGAGAGAGCAGAGACAGCTGACGACTTCAAAGGTTTCTCTGACCTTGCTGGGCATTTCAGAAAGGGAGGAAATCAATAGGTAATGGAGTCAAAGAATAAGCAAGAGGGGCATGGGTAGTTTCAGTCTAGAGGGCATGAGGGATCAAAATAATCATTCCACACATTTCACTGTCTAAGTCCTGCACTGCAGTTGTAAAGAAAGTAAAAGGCATTGCACTGTTATAGAGCTGCATAGCTTTACCTCAAGGGACAAACATTCACACGCCTCTGGGTTTCTGCATAACCATCAACCTTCATACTAGATGAGGAAGCAAGTGTGGCCGTGCAGCAGGCGCATGTGCAAAATATCAGTTATATTTTAATGACTTTCAATAAAAGGGGGAGGGAAGGAAAGGGTATGGGAGAAAAAGCAGCGAGTGATCTGTCAAATAATAACCCGTCTGCAATATTCATCACAGAAAGTAACTTACAGCAGAAATTGCCTTGTTTGATCTGGTAGTGCCCAACATTGTATTGTATTGTAAAATGATGAGAGAGCATGTCTTATTCTTTTGAAGACTCTGAATGAATCGCTTTGCCTAATTTGTGACAATTGATGAAGCGAGGAGAGAAAAAAAGACGGAAGAGACAGAATCAGAGCAAGAGACTATGTAAGATCCTAGTCAGTATTTGATCCATGTCCCTTGGTATTAATTACACCCGCTCATAGATCAATCGACCATTAAGCACATGAGATGCCCCAGACTAAGTCCCATTAAACCGTCCCCTGCTTTCCTCACTGCTCTTCTTACTGTTCCATTGTCTCTCTGTTTTCTGTCTATTGGATTCTCTTTCCTTTTTTTGCTTGCAGGGGTTAATAAAAGCACACAAACTGAGACAGTGTCCAGTCTAAGTCCCCCAAACTCCTGCAATCCCACCTGCTTTTTCTTCTGTCTGTCTAAGTCTACACACAGACACAAACAAACAGGAAACAAGACCTTTACGGCTGTTAAGCATGGCAGAACTGAGACTGAACAATACTCAACAGAAGAAAACTAGAATGGCACTCAGGGGAGTTCAACCCTCCACCTAGACCCAACAGTCCCCTTTAAAACTAAGGTTAAATTCTCTACATCAAATTTTTATTTAAAACAGATTCGGACAAAATT